TAGCTCATGTTGATAATTCCTTAGAATCAGTTTCGGATGCCTTAGAAGAATCAACCTAGAGAATGACCGGTTATTAATGCGGGTATTGCTTTTGAGACAGATTTCCTATCCAATTAGGCACTTCCTTTGCTTTTAGATCTGAGTTTCAACCATAAGGGTATCCTAAACCTTGCATGTTTTTTAAACTTGTTCAATTCCTTGGATAGATCCCGGTATCTGTGGACAGAGAAGGAAAAGGAATGCCTCTGGTTCTCCCGCCAAGTATCCAACTTTAGCCCTCACTCTCTTAATTATGAGTTACTCTTTGAACCCCGGGGAGGTGGTAAATCCCAAACCACATGCTGAGGCTACGGGTTGAACCAGGAGAAGCATTCACCTAAGGATGGATAAAACACATCCTGCCTGCAGGATACCATGTCCAACCTGCCAGGTTCCCTATGACTATGAAGTAAGGTATAGGTTGTTTCCAACAACAACCAGAGAGACTTCATTTCTGGGGAAGAACATTGAGTCTTCCGAATAGCAACCTATAAGAATAGGATCAAAGAGGATAGAGTGAGTGGAATATGTAGGCGGTGGTAAACTCCTCTTTTCGGTAGTAGAAGGGAAGCTCGTCCTCTTATTGTTTGTGTCAATACTCAACTTCGTCAGTCCGGTTGAACAGCCTCCCAATGAGAGCGAGCCAAGACTTTGCTTGCTGTTTGTGTTTGTCCGCCACGACTGCTCAACCAACTGCTAAATCATGGGTTCTAATCCCATTTCCTCCGGAAACAACCCTTGGCAACCCGATATTTAAGGAAGCACAGCTAACCTAAGCGGGGGCAGAATCAATGACCCAAGGTTTGGGAGTCAAGGAACTGGAAGACAGACACGCGGTGGACTGACCTCTTTAGGCAAGAGAGGCAGTAGGGGCCTTTAGTCTTTTGATTAGAGTAGGGGTCGCGAGAGAGCAGAGCGTACCGCCCTGCCATAGTCGCGAGTCTGTTTATAGTCGCGACTGTTGTCATAGTCAACAAGGTTGAAACTTCCAGGAAAAAACTTCGAATTGGGAGGGCGATCCTCCCGGTGAACTGACCGTACCCCAAACCGACACAGGTGAACAAGTAGAGTATACTAGGGCGCTTGAGAGAACCATGTCGAAGGAACTCGGCAAAATGACCCCGTAACTTCGGGAGAAGGGGTGCTCTCCTATCTTTTGATTAGGAAAGCGGCACATACCAGGGGGTAGCGACTGTTTATTAAAAACACAGGACTCTGCTAAGTGGTAACACGATGTATAGAGTCTGACACCTGCCCGGTGCTGGAAAGTCGAAAGGAGAAGTGTTATAAGCTTTGAATGGAAGCCCCGGTAAACCCCTGGGTAAAAGTACTAATCCGTCTATCTACTTACTCTCTAACTAAGAGAATGTTATTTACTGAGAGAAGTAGTACGGATTGTTGTTGTCTTCTTTTTGGCGGTGAGGACTGAACTTTCACTTTCTTACTTGAAGTCATAGCTCTTTCTCTTTTTATCTTTTGAGAGCTGTATGTAACTACAGTTCTTTATGGGCTGGGGAAATCTCCTAAATTACAAGAGAGGAAGATAGAGTTAGCATTGATTGGGAAGGAAGGAACTAGTAATCCATTTAAGAGGACTTTACCCGGGAAGGAACTTACTTTTTCTAACTCGGAATGAATTGGAAGTGCGAGATGCACTAATCGGAAAGAGACTCTCTCTTGACCTGACTTTCCCTATTGGCTTTGACTGCGGTAAGTAATTCACTCAAACCGATTCCATTTATGGAGGGTGGGAAAACTCTTTCTTTTATCAGGATGAAAGGCTTAGCCGCCTGACTCACTCCGGATAGAAAGATTGAGGGGGTCAGACACGGCGGAGACGGCACATTGAATATGGGATTGAGTTCAGTTAAGAATCTCTTTTCCGCATTAACTGGTAGTAAATATAGTCATTCAAATCTCTCTGTTAGAAAACATCAGCGGTTTCGGCATTGGTAAGCATTCCTTTAGCAAGCCCCGTAGCTCGAAAGAAAGAAAAAAAGCTGGCAAGGGACTCACTTATGAAACATAGTTGAAAGATGTTTTTATTTTGGATCATTGTTAAGTGGTAAGGATAATGAAAAGCTGGCTCTCGGAAGTAACTACAGCGTACATGTATGATGAGAATGACAATAAAAAAATAAAATAAAGAAAATGGCTAACAATATGAAAATGTTTCAACCAGATACGAGTGACGGAACCGGTGTTGATCAAAGACATGCACCGAGTGCCAGGAATGACTATAAGCCGATAGAGTCGTTTTAACATGCCATGAACCGAGATACAATTTTACTAGTGCCAGGTACAAGAAAGAGTGGAGTTGATTTACAGATACTAGTACCTGAATGACAAGTGACGAAAGCAAGAAAGAGTTACTAAAACCATTACGAATGACAAGTACACACAAGAATGACTCGATCGAGTCCCGAGAGACAGATAGAGCTTAACTAAAACGTCCGCCCGG